GAACAACTTTTAAAAGAAATATCTTGAATTAATCATTTTCTGTGTAACTTTATCAGTCTCTCACATCATTATGGAGGAATTTTAGCCCAATCTTCCCTACATGTTGCTTCATCTCATTAAGTTTTTTGCCATTCATTTATGCACATCTCTCTAAACGTACCACCAAAGCTTGTCAATCAGGTTGAGGTCTGGACTTTCACTGGGTCATTGCAACACCTTCATTCCTTTCATTTTCAGCCCTTCTGCTGTTTTGCTGCTGTTTTGCTGCTGTGCTTGGGATCATTGTCCTGTTGCATAATTCAAGGTTTAGCTTTCAGACAGATAGCCTCACGTTTGACTCTAGAATACTTTGATATGCAGACAAGTTCATGGTCAACACAGTGACCTCAAGGAGCCCAGGTGTGGCTGCAAAACAAACCCAAATCATCAGACCTCCACAACTGTCCTTGATAGCTGTTATGAGGTGTTTGTGCTGATATGCTGTTTGTTTTTTTATCAAACGTGGTGCTGTACACTATGGCCAAATATTTCCATTTTGGTCTTGTTTGTCCGAAAGACATGGTTTCAGATGTTTTGTGCTTTTTTTTCACATGCAACTTTGCAAACCTATGCCATGCTGCCATGTTATTTTCAGACAGAAGAGGCTTTTTCCTGGCAACTATTCCATGCAAACCATACTTTTTCAACCTTTTTCTAATTGCACTGTCATTAACTTTAACATTTAACATGCTAAGTGTCAGAAACGTAGCTCTAGGGTTCTTTGGCACTTCCCCTGAGCATTTCCTCATCTGACCTTGGGGTTATTTTGCTGGGACTCTTGGGAAGACCACAATGCTCCAGACGGGAAAACTGCAAAAGCTTCTGCAGTTATAGAGGCAATCATGCTCGGTGATGATCAGCTAATGAAGTGCATTTGATTATCAGCACCTGGCAGCTACTTACCCTTTTAATTGCATAAGTAAGGGTGTACTTTGCTTTGTCCTGTGAAAACTCTCTTTGTTCCATGACTGTAACAACATATAAAACATATATGATAATTTTACTCTTAAATAAACAGTTATTTCTTCTGTGTTTATCATTCTTTATGCTGTCTTAATCACAGTTGCTAGGTTACAAACGAGCTAAAGCTTTGCAGTGGGACAGCACAATGCCGGTTCATGCTGTTGTTCTGCCAACTGTAATACTACTTAAACATTTAGGTGGTCATCAGTTCAGTTCAATTTCATTTATATACCACCAACAGTCACCTCATGGAGCAAGCACTTGGTGGCAGTGGGAAGGAAAAAGTCCCTTAAAACAGGAAGACACTTCCAACAGAACCAGGCTCAGAGCCGATCGGTTGGGGTTTAAATATCAGAAGCTTGCTTCCTCATTCACAGGAAACATGAATGCATTTGTTTCTTTCTCATTCTTTAAGGTTTTACCTTCCTTTTTAAATTGTACATATTGTAATTTATTTGCTATAGGGAAGGTTACAAAACCACAAAGTAATATGGATATGTCCTTTGGTGAGGCTGATTGGCATATATCAGTGGCAAACAGTTGTTCTGAACAAGCAGACCAACATCTCCATCCACCTTTTTGGCAAGCCAGCCATGACGCTTGATTCACTTGATTCAGTTTTGGTGCACTAGATGAGGGAGAGCTGGTTCTAATTGGGATAGGAAGATAGGCTGTAACCTTATCTACAGAAAGCTGCTGTGTGCTGCATTATTTCATCTCCTCGTGTGCCCTGAAAAAATATGACAAAAGCATCAGAGAATGGAAAAAGTATGAGCTCAGACTTCGTAACCTGGCAGATATAATCAAATCATTCTGCTGAGGGCCTAACTCGTGTTTAACGCCAGTCTATACATCATACTGTATATCTAATTTAAGGCCGAGCTGACTGCTCTTTGAAGAAGCAGTTTTGAAATCACATTCCAGTTTCCCCTCCCAAACAGCAAATTATTTCTATTCCCGCAGGACGTGTGATTTCGGACTCGGAGTTGGAGCAAATCACTTGCAGACTACTTCATGAGGAGCTTATTAATCTGAGTCAAGGGGTCTGGGATTCAAGCTGAAGTATAAACAACCTCCTCATCAATGGGCAACGTTTAGAAGAAAAAAAAAAGAGAAGAGAAAAAAAGCTTTGACTATAGAGTGAGCTTGGTTCCACCTCAACAACGTCAACCTACGTGCAGACTCAGGTTTGACGCCAGATACCACAGAGAAAAGATACGGCAAAAATGTGCCCTGTAATTGGTAACAGTCTCTAAATTTATGTAAGCAAGGTAGGCTGTAATTAATCCCAGCACAATGAGGATCCTCTGTGGAGGAGTGCATATGTCTTTGTTATTGGACATCACCACAGGGCCATTCTGCAGCCCATCAGATACAGTGTCTAAATACATAGCAATCAGATGTGGAAGGGTTTTTTTCCTAAAACATCTCCCACCAATGCCTCAGCAGCAATTACAAAAGGTTATCAAGGGGCATCGACCACCAGTCTCTGACCTACATGAACCCGCCCTCAGTTCCCCTAAAAAGGTGCCTCTGTGCCTTTTCCCCCTTTCTTCCTCATTAAAATCCCAGAATCAGACTGTTTAAATTACGATGGTCTGCAGTCCTCACAGCAAGTTGGAAGAAAGATGATGGGAAAGGCAGTTTGGAAAGATGCTGAAAGTAGCTGGCACTTCTTATCTGCCACATATTAGCAACGTTGAGAAATGGTGTTTGCCATATTGCATTAGCCCTCTGCCGTCCCATCATCGCCTGCCATTCTCAGCAACAACATGATCCAAATGCATTCCAGATGTCTCAGCCATCAAGCTTTAATATTTCACTACCCTCCATTAATCTTATCAAGTGTGAGACAGATCCCTGCCTGATAACATCTCACAGCATTTCAGTCTATCAGTGCCTGCAGCTGACCACAGTCTCACTAGAAATTGAAATTTATATCACCTTGCAGATCTCCTTTGCACATAAATTAACTAATGTGCTGGAAGCCTAACAATAAAATAGCTAGGATCTTTTTTTTTTAACACTCGGAAAATAGTGAAACCTAATCCGAGTAGAAGGTTGTATTTCATATGGAAGTGGAGATAAAAATGTCAAGAAAACACCCTTCATCTCACAATTATCAAGATTATGGAAAATACACACTATACACAACTTTTTTTTCCAAACAAAATAAAAAAAATAAATAATAATGAAAAAAAGTGGTGTCAAGAAAAGCAAATAAATGTCCAAATTCACAAAAAAACCCCAGTTTCCTCTGTGCTGCATCACATATTCGAGATTCTTGGAATTCTGGGAACGGTGGAGATCCACTGTGGTAGCTTTGAAAGCAAAGTGGTTTGTTGTGAAACAAACAGGCCAGTGTAGCAGGCAGGCTCGCTGTTGTAATACGTGCAGAGTGTGGTTTGGCGCTTTCTTGCTAAAATAAGCAAGAGCTAACCCTGAATGATCTCTTTGCGGTTCTTGATCACAATTTTGTGGTGGAGTTTTACACTTAACATTTGAGCAAAGAGTAATATGACATTTAGTCCCCAGACATTAACTCTCGTAACATCATGAACATCATTCTGAACATTACCACATTAATGCTTTTTCTGTTCTCGTTATCAGAATGAATATATATTCGCTGGACACTTTGTTAGGTACACCTTGTTAGTAGCAGCCTGGACCCCTTTTCACCTTCAGAATTGTTATAACTCTTCATGGCACAGATTCAACAAGCATCACAAAGTTGAGCACGCAGTTGCAGATTTGTCAGCTGGACATCCATGACGAAAATCTCTCGGTCCACAACATCCAAAAGTGCTCTACTGGATTAAGATCTGGTGGCTGTGGAGGTCGGAAGTGACCATAAAGGGGATGGAAATGATCAGCAACGATACTCAGGTAGGTTGTGGTGTTTAAATGATGTTCAGTTGGTACTTAAGGGCCTAAAGTGTGTCACAAAATAGTCCCCACAGCAAAACCACCACCAGCCTGAGTCAATGATACAAGGCAAGATACAGTCATGCTTTCAAGCTTACACCAATTCTGACCATGCGATCTGAATGCTGCAGTTTTTCCAGTCTTCTATTGCCCTGTTTTGGTGTAACTGTGTGAACTGGAACCTCAGGTTTGTGTTCTTAGCTGACAGGACCTGCTGTGGTCTTCTGCTTCTGTAACTCATCTGCTTCACGGTTCCATATGCCTTGCGTTCAGAGATGCTCTTCTGCACACCGTGGTTGTAACAAGGGGTTATTTGAGGTACTGTTGCCTTCTTACCAGCTCAAAGCAGTCTCGTGTGTAGTAAAATCCCATCAGATCAGCAATTTCTGAGATACTCAGCCTGTCTGCAACATTCAAAGTCACTTTAAGTCACATTTCTTCTTCACCCTTCACCTTCAATGTCATAAGCCATTTTTACTCTTTGGCTTATGACACAGTCTGACCCTGATTTTATTGTTTTAATCTAATGTGCTGATTTTATTGTTTTAAATGTGGTTTTTTTGTGTGGTTTTTTATGTATATATTTTACTTATCTTATATTATTATTACTATTTTTCTCTTTCTTTTTTTAACATGCTCAATGTATCATGTTTGGCATGTCAAGTGTACAGCACTTTGTGTTCAGCTGGTGGCTGATCTGAAAGCGCTATATAAATAAATTGCTTGCTTGCTTGCTTGCCCCAATACACAGATCATCTTGACTATGTCCACAAATTTAAATGCATGGACTTACATTTACATTAAGTAGATGAAAAGGTGTATCACACTGATCACACTACAGCCAATGAAGCTGAGACAGCAATTACACCATGTATAAAATACAAGCAACATACAATTTACTCCATCAGTACCTGTATTTTATTTCACTGACCTTACTTTTAAAATTTTATACTGAAGAGACTACTCAGGTCAAGTTAATTAAATAAAGTTTATCTCTTAAATATAATTTTTTCTAGAAAACTGATGCCATGAAAACTGTGAAGGTTATTTTTAAAAAAAACAACAAACAGGCATTTAGGAAATCACATGATTTATTTGTTCATGTTACACATTCTGTAACATTGAAGTTTGGCATAACTATTTGCAGGCTCACGTCTGCTTCTCCACAAAGCTGTAAACAGTCACCGCTGATGAGCTTTAAGTGAATTGAATTATTAAAAACACTAAAAACAGAAACCTCAGCACTCCCAGGATCTGAAAGCCATGATGTCATCAGTCTAAGCATGCTGACAAGAAACACTTTCCCACATGACACATGTTTCAAATTTAGCACTTAAGCGTCGTAGTCAGCGGAAGGTGTTGTTATTCCTGCAGGACGCTGAAACAACTGAACCCACTACAGACTGAATGACAATTAAGTAAGCTAGTTTCTCAACCTGTCATTCAATTTCCTGAGCTGAGTCTGGGATACCGACTATTCCTTCACACCATGCAAAAGACCCTTTTCCTCTCTGAAGAATTGTTGCCCTTGGAGTGAAAATCCTGTCTGATGGGTCCTGATCACAAGGTCCAAAGCCTCTTTCCCTCAGGGCCAAGGTCACACTGGTTTCCCCAGCTGGCCCTCCAGGATCAGTCTTCCTCTGAGGAGAGCTGTGCTCCTTCATCGTGAACCTCTCTGTAGGTAGCCATGGGGCCACCGTCAGGAGTGTAGCTCCCCATAGAGATCTTCAATCCTTCAGACAGTTTCTGGGCTGCCAGCTTGGCCTGCAACTCCTGAAATTAAACACCAGACAGAGAAAAAGCTGACATGAATAGGCTGGTAAACAGAAGACAAGCACATTATTATAAAGCAGCACAGCCACTGCTATTAAACTCTCAACAAAAGTTTGTCTTATGTAATACTCTTCTTATACTCTCGTTCAGCTTTCTCTAATAATAACTGTTAAAAGGTTTAATTCTTAATTAAATTAGAGCATCCTAAGTGTTCGCTATTAACAGCATCAACGAGCTCTCTGAGACTTCATCCCTTTATAAATACTTATTGCACTAAAGTTTTCTTTTCTGCAGTAGCTACTCAGTTTGGAATCACCAGCATGTCTTTGGACTGAGGCAGGAAGCCAGAGTACTTGGACAGAACCCATGCACGACACAAGAACATGCAATCTCCACAAACCAGCCTTCTTGCTGTGAGGTGACGATGCTAACCCACCATTGTATCAGCTGTCAATAAAAGTCCTGACTTTTTAAAAATAGTGAGAATCAAAGTGTAAGATGCTGATTGAATTTATGGCACAAAGGACAAGAGGATAAACATGATTGTTGTTCAGATAATTACTTAATTTTCTTTTACCAAATATTAAATAAAATTTATGTCTATTAAAAATGTATTTCTTGTATAAAAGGAGACATTCAGAACAGCTTTGGTTGAACCATATTGCTAAGTGATCTAGGGAGGCACTGGCTGTTTCCACCCAGCCTGTTTAGCCTCCTTAGAAGGGCACTCGGCCTCACTAACCAGCTGCTTCTTGGTTTGCTTCTTCAGCAGTGCAGCTGACTCCTCCAGAGATAGGAGCTGGGCTGGATTGTGATGGAGAGGGGGGAGTCTGGCAGCAGTGATGTCATCCAGGTGTTTTCTGTCCCGCTCCCTCCTGGCTTGCACAGACAGCGGCAATGAGCCTTCAGAGGACTGACTGGGTGACGAGGATCCTGATGGAGAGATGTCACTTCTATGAGGCAGCCTGGAAACACATTAAGGTGCATATTATTTATACTCAGTTAACTTACACAGAGGACAAAAAGGCAGAATGGCAAACTATGTCAAATGTCTTACTGTATAAAATCTGGATTATTGGAGCATTTTTGTTGGAAATGTTCAGAAAACAGTAAATAAAGTCCACTCACTGATTTGGTTTAAATTTTTGCTTCCTGGGAGCTGCAGACTTCTCTGTTTTTTCCAGGACAGTTATATAGTGAGGCTTCTTTGGTGGTTGCTTTCTGAGAAAGTAATTGTCTCTTGCACTGCTGTTTAATGGCTCTTTGGATACGCTGCTGCCACCAGTAGTAGTTCCAGACAGCGTGACCCTTTCCAGGGCCTCCACAAGGTCACCCTCTTTTGTTTCATCAGAGTTCAGAGAGGCCCCACGAGCCACCGTTTCCATGGTTTCCACAGCAGTCGCTCCGGAGACAAATGGCTCTCGTTGCTCGTCCAAAGTGTGGTTTTCTTGCACTTGAGCTGTGGCAGGTGAGGTCTCGCTCTCCTGTGCAGCATCACCTGCAGCAGCGTCATGTTGCCTGTTTTGATGCGAGGCTGCTGGTGTGATGGAGGCAGCACGCCGGTGAGCAAAAGCCTGCTGGTACTTGGACTGTAACTCTGTCCTCGCAACAGACACTAGGCTTCGTCTCCTCTCCTCCTCACTGTGGTCATCAATGGCAAGACGCACTTTATCTGCAAAGTCTTTTATCTTTTTCCCTTTGTCAGGTAGCGTCTGCAATAACTTCCTGCAAACAACACAAACACATCATTGTAAAAAGTATACTTCAAGCAATATTTCAATACACAACGAGAGCAACAATAAATGTCAGACACATACATGTCTGTAACCCCTCCCTGACCCCAAATAAAAGTCTTTCATGCCATGTTTTCCTCTTAATTGTTGATAATGGCAGCCAAAGCTGATACTGATCTACTTCATGGTCCTACTTCCCATACAATCACATTTTTGATAAGATTTTTTTTTTTTTTTTAACATATTATGTTACATTATGTGAACAAAATCCAGGAAAACTTGTCTGGAAATATTATGTGGTGCAAGTGTAACACAGAAAACTACTGATGCACTCCAACAAATTATATATATAATTTTTTGAGTAAATTGGCAGAAAGATACAAATGGAGGCTGTATGATGCATCTGATGCAGTGATGAAAACCTAAGGCCAGATTTACCAGCATGTTGCACCAGCACAAGTGGGTTTTGGCATTAAAAAAAAGTATTTAAAAAAGAAAAGGAGAGTTTCTTTATCAAGGTGTGAAATATAGGGAGGAGAACATTTAAATAAAGCATATAAACTGCTCGACCAATGCCAGCAACATGTGTTTTACTACTAACTACATATTTGAGGTTTGAAAAAAATAAAAAATAAATAAATTTGCACCTTATTCTGAAATGACTGCACCCGTGTTCAGAAAACAGCTCCACATTTGTAAATAACCCTTAAAACTGAACACTCCTATTAGTGCCATTTGGCCTCAGTGACTAAATCTGGCAGTGTAAATGTCTAAGTATCCTCAGCAGTTGCTGTTATAGGTTAACTGCATCTGTAAAGGTGTTCCCATATTAGTTAAACAGAAAGAGGATTTCTGTGTTTCTGATGGTATTAATAATAATGGTAGTTTATCGTTTTCAAATGGTCTACTTTTTATTTTTATTTTAGTTAAATAAAATGTTTTGGTTTTTTACATCTAGTTTTAGTTAACTATAACAAACTTGCTGGAAAACAGGAAGATGGGTCAAAAGTATGGAAATGGTCACTGACAATACCCTGGTAGGCTTCAGAGTTTAAATCATGCTCAACCGGTGCTAGGGTGCCTAAAGCGTGTCAAGAAAATGTCCCTGACATCATCATCATTATTGTTACCACAACTAGCTCCCTGAACTGTTCATACAAAGCAGCATGCATCCATACTTTCATGTTTAAGCCAATGTCTGATCGCACCGTCTGTTGCAGCAGAAATCGAAACAGGTGTACCTAACAAAGTGGCCGCGAGTGTTTGTTTTTTTACCCCATGTTACAGCAGAGTAGTGTCGCCCGTGCATCGTTTTTTACAAAAGCATTTCATATTTTCACCTGAGCCAAAGTGGACTTATATAAACACGTCGTCAGTAGATCATCTGTCTTAGTTTTAGGGCATATTCCTGAACACATAGAAGTCACTTTACCAAACCGGATCAAAGCTAACGGGATGGCCGTGCGCATAAGTGTCACGCTTCTCTCATACAACCTAAGGGTTAAACTTACTTGTTACTGAGGATCCCTTCTTGTCGGAGTAGCAGTTCCTGTAGTTCTTCTTTACTCAGGTGTCCCAGGTCTCCCACCTCTCCCTGGCGCTCTGTCCACGACGAGGACATCACTGTTAGCTAAAGTAAGCTAACTACAGCCATCCACAAACAGCACGAGCCCGCTTTAAACTTCAGCGTAAACACGAAGGTTTGCGGTAAATCTAACGGTTGATTGATTCCTATTTTATTAGAGAGCTTCAGAAAACTCTTTAAGTGACAAATTCACTTCTTCAACACATGACACAACATTTCAAAGTGGGACCCTTCTTCTTCTTCTTCTTCTTCCTGTGTGGAAAAAATAGCCCTCTATCGCCCCCACTGAACGGGACACGGTAACACACCTCTTCACTGTAAAGACTGTGGAGCTTATTTGCTGCCCTCTCCCGGTCAAACGTGGTAACCAGCCTGGATGCAAGAGCTTTCTCTCTTAGCAGCGCGATCAGTACAGACAGTCTGGACTGGGCTGGTGTCTCAGATTTTCCACAGCTGCATTTCCTGTCCGGATGTTTTCCGATCCACTTCTCACTCAGCTCAACTGACAATGAATGACCCAAACACAGCTGTGTCCTCTCCAGCCTGTGTCAAAGTTCAAAGTCAGTTTTGGTTGCAGCTGTGCCGTTGGAACAAAGTCTCTGCAGACTTTACCTTTAGAGTTCAGACTCTAAGTCAAAGTTTAAAGTTTTCCATTTTTTCCTGAATGTATTATTCCAAGACCTATTTCTCAAGTATCCCAGATACTGTCAAAAAGAGAAATGCTTCTTTTTTCACGCTTATCTTTGTTAATCAATTGTAATTAAAGTAAACATTAAGTTTTATTTTTTTAGTCCTGACAAGAGATTCATTCTAAAAGACACTTCTTCAGCTGAGAGTCAGAGAGTAGAAAGACACACGCTGCAGTTTCTACTTGCAAGGCCGGTCACAGAGCGCTCACACCAGAGTGGGGGCCCTGTGATGTGCGCTCTGTTCTTGCACTTGTCTTTATTTATACACAAGAAAAGTAATACAATAATGAATACATTTGTTCAGTGGAATGTTGATACGTGAGCATGTGCGTATGTGATTGTGTGTGTGTGTGTGTTGGAATGTGGGAAGCAGCCCTTTTTCCTGGTAAGAGCTCAGAACTGCTTGTTCAGCTTCTTACTATCACTGTGGGAAGATTCAGATAAAAATATATGAACAGGTTTTATAAAGACCAATCAGTTCTAAGTAATAAAAAGCTCATCATGCAGTATTCTATCAAATGTACACTTATATCATTAAAAGCTTATACTGACTACTAAGTACAATTTTCCATTGACATTCCCTCCCGTTGTCACGTACAACTTTTAAGTGAGATATCAGTATGTAATATCTTGTTGTACATTTTCTGTCACATCATCATTAATCACACAAAGTCTTCATGTTCTAACAGGTCGGGGTCATCATCATCATCATTTGTCACGGCTATGTATGCAGCAACAGTGGATACAATTATGCGGTTAATCATGAGTTTTAGACATGGCAGGATACATGTTACAAAAACACAAAATAAAAGTGAAAATGTTCCAACTCCAATGAGTAGTCTTTTTAGCACCTGTAGCCAGGAGCCAGTGTAAAGCCAAGAAAACCAGTCACTTGCATTACTTACATAATCCTGATTTTGGGCCTGCTGGATCTGTCTCAAGGCGTTCAGGGCGTCAGTCATGTTTGATGAGTGTACATTGTCTGGTATGTAAGTGCAGCAGGTGTTGTTGAAGAGGACGCAAAGTCCCCCTTTTTCTGCTAGTATCATGTCCAGAGCTACTCGATGTTGAATCACTGCAATTCGTAATGCATTGATTTCCTGATTCTGCTGTTTATTAATCTTGCACGAAGCGTTCAAGAAAAGTCCAAAACTGTAGTCCAGAGTTTCAATCCTCAGCATGTTTTTTCTGGTTCCCACCCAGGGGAACAATGAATGGAGTACTTTCTGTCCGGTAGTCCATAATTTGAATTCCTCGGGTACGTCGCTCCCCCATATTGGGTCATGTGGTTGAATTTCAGGGAGTGTTGATCTTCTTTTCCGGCGTACTGTAGAAGTGGTGTTTACTGCGGTCATCCTAAAAGTGTGGTTTGACAGGAATGTGGGAGCACATGTTCCTGTCCAGCCTGGGGGCAGTATGAAACATGCCCGTTGTCCACATTGCCAGGCGATGCCTTGCACTCAGTATGTGCCATTAGATGGTCCAGTCGTGTTCACAGGGGCACCTTCTCCTCCTCCAGCGGCCAGGTTGCAGTTAGTGATGTTTCCAAGCGGCCTGTTACCTTTGTTTTGTTTATAGCACATGGAGTGGTTCTTCCCTGGAGTTTGGTCCAAGAACACTGGGAAATGGATGGCTGTATTCCAGGTTGTCACATTGAAGTTGATCCAGAAAAGTTGATCACATGCTCGTTATCAAGTCCAATGTCTTCAATGGTGATTTTCTTGTAACCCTCCATATAGTGTAGGGTGTGTCGACGTGCTGGGCATATAAGAACAGACATAACAGTCTGCATTTTCAGATTCTGCCCTGGTCCTGTCGTACCAGGCATTATTCATCCAAGGGTGGATGTGGTCTTGTGTCATGTCTCTTAGGTGGGAGTTGTCGTGCGTCCATCTTTTCAGTCTGCCTCATGGTTCAGCTGTTGTCGGCATCAGCTGGGGGCCTGTAAGGGTGAGCGTCGTAGTCAAGGTAACCAAGAGGGTCCACCTTCCCATGGCTGCGTACTACACACTCTACTACTTGGTTACCCTAGAGTTGGTCAATGGCTGGAGGTGGAAGTGCGAGCAATGCTCAATCAGCACTTTACCCTCAACACTGAAGCAACCAAGCGAGGGTGAAACTTTCCCTTACTAGTTGATTTCTGTGAAGGAAGTGGAATCCTCTGGGACCTCAACTTTCTTGCGGTGGCTTTGGTGTATCCAGGAAGGTCTTTCCGCTATTTTGCAGGCAGTTGGAGTGGTCAGAAGCACTTGGTATGGACCCTCCCACCGTGGCGAGCTCCAATTTTTCCTTGGAGTACTCGGACAAGGATCCAGTCACCTGGCTTCAACCTGCAGGAAATAGAAGAAGAATCTTGCGGCAGTTTATTGTTCAAAACAACATCTCTGTTTGTCAACAATTGAGTCATCCAATCTGCCAGAGTGGTTTCACAGACTGATTTATCTAGTGGCTCGCTAGTAACTGGTAGTGGAAAAGGTCGCCCATGTATAATTTCAAATGGGGACAGTTTGTTATTTCCTTGTGTTATTCTCATCCACATTTTGACTACACATTCTGGCCATGGTCTGCCAGTTTCT